GCTTGGGGAAACAATTTGTTGAGCAAGGAGAGACTTCAAACGCAGAATAATCACAAAAAACAGAAAAATGAATCAGGCCAAAGGAGGAGAAAGGAAACTGAATGCTAAAGGAAAACGAAATTCAGAAGCCAATCTGCAGTAAAGGCAGGTGCATAGCTTTTTAGAAGTCAATAGGGAACTGGTAGAAGATAGAATGACTAGGGACAGAGATGGCTGAGTTGAGACAAGGTGTAAATGTAAAAAGTAACATATGAATGCAGAAAGAGAAGGTAGATAGAAATCAATTGCCTGCAATTGTAGCATGAGATTTTAAATATAGCAAGACAGAGAAACTGTATCTATTTAGATGAGCCTAGATTGGGAGAGCAAGTAACAGGTAGAGAGTGGGAGCAAGGAGACAGATGTGGGGGAGGCAAAAGAAATGATTGAGAACAGATAGAACTGGTGCCAGGGAGAAAAGGCTGGGGGCAAGAAAGATGTACACAGTAGCCTGAAATATGGTCAGGATAATAGAAAGAATACAGAGGCAATAGCTGGGAAGCATGGATTATATGCCTGGAAAGTGCTTCTTGTTCCATTGCAAAAGTAACAGTGAGCCTATAGGTACCCAGAAACTGAGCAGGAGGGATGAAATAAGCCCAAGGTTACTTCTAGAGGAAGGTCAGGTACATAGTGTTATAAAAGAGAAACGTTAATGGGTCAGTCAGATTGATGGACACAGATCAGAAGAACCTTAACTGAGCATAAGACAGAAAGCCCAAGTAGATGTGATCTGAGTCCAGAAAGAAAATGAAGAGCGATGTAGAAAACAAAAGACAAGGGATCAAAATGGAGGGAAAATCGCTTATGAGGAGAAAAGATAAATGAAATATCAGATTTATAATGAGACAGACTCCACAAAGGAGATGGGAATCCATGGAAAAGATGTCAAGAAATGTGAGAGAAATCCAGGAGGTCTAGAGTGTCAGTGGGCACTGAAAAAGCGTAGCAAAAAGTAGTGAGCAAGTAGTTCAGGAAATGTAATAGTTTATGGGATGAAACCTCTAAACAGTCACATTAAAGACAAATTGGGATAGATCAAGAGTGAAAGATGTTAAGGAAGCTGGGAAAATCAGAAGCAGCAGAAAGAAGGAAAACTTGGCTCATAGAGATGGGGACCCTAGTGTTACTATAAATGATGATCAGGAATGATCAGGCTTATAAGCACACTGACAGCCTAAGGTCATAGAGGTAATGAGCAAAACAAAATACAAACAGATCATAGTCTCTCTTTAAAAAAAAATGGTTGAAGACAGAGTTAGCATAGTTGTAGAAATAGAGAGATACAGCTTGCTAGGAAAGAGGCTAGTTTATACAGAGGGATAATGCCATGTTCAGAGAGTAGGAGAGAGAAAACGTTCATTCCTTTTTATTTTATTTTGTTTTGCTTTGCTTTTTTGACACAGGGTCTCACTATGCAGCCCTGGCTGGCCTGAAACTCATTATGTAGACCAGGCTGACCTTGAACTCACAGAGATCCACCTGCCTCTACTTCCTAAGCACTGGGCTTAAAGTCATGCATCACCACACCTAGCTAGAAAATGTTAATTCTAAGTTGAGGTCTGCCTCTGTAGAATATTTTTAACTTCTTCCATGGTTGCACACAAAATCATTTTGGAGTGTTCTGAGTTCAACTGAGGAAGTATTTTTTAAGATACAATATGCTAGCTGGGCATGGTGGCACACACCTTTAATCCCAGCACTTGGATCTCTGTGAGTTCAAGGCCAGCCTGGTCTACATAGCGAGTTCCAGGTCAGCTAGGGGTACAGGGAGACCCTGCCTCAAAAAGACCAAAAAAAAAAAAAAGCCCCAATATGCTTATTTTGTTTTCAACCAAAACTTTCATGGAAGTTATTACTGGGAGCTGTTTGTTTTGCCAAACTAGTAGAATTAAGTATACTGTGTCATTATATCCTTCTTCCTCTTCCCCAGTCTATTTACTGACATATATCAGTCACTAAACCTAAGTCATTCATATACCTGAGAGTGTCCACTGTTTGAGGAATTTAAATATGATTTTCTACTCCACATATATATTTTTTACCCTGGATTATAGGAAAGGTTTCTGGGATTTGCTAAGGCATACATACCTGATTGCTGGATAGTGTTTATTCATACTGTTGCATTAATCACCTCTTAGCTGTCCTTCATTTTCAGTACCCAGACCTTAATTTTTCTTCTTCTTCTTCCTCCTCCTCCTCCTCCTCCTCTTCTCCTCCTTCCCCTCCCCCTTCCCCTCCCCCCTCCTCCTTCTCTTCTTCTTTCTTCTCCTCTTTTTATATAGCAAGGACCGTACAGCAACTGCTACTGGAGCTGCTAGCCTGGCAGGTGGGCATCACCGGGAGGCATGGACCAGCAAAGGCCCCTCCTATGAGGACTTATACACACAGAATGTTGTCATTAACATGGATGACCAGGAAGATGTTCATCGCACCTCAATGGATGGGAAATCTGCCAAAGAGAGACCCATTTGGTTGAGAGAGAGCACTGTCCAGGGGGCATATAGTTCTGAAGAGATGAAGGAAGGTAAGAGGAGAAAGTTGATAAGATGGGTATGTCAGAAATTCAGTGGAAAATGAACTTGACTTAGAGGGAAAATGCCTAATGCCTTGGTTTTATTGATAATTCATTGCATTTGTTTTACAAATCTATTATTCATATTACATAAGTATGAAATTGAGCACTAAATATTAAAATAACCAATGTACTTGCATTGTCCTTCAGCTTAGTCAAAACAGCACATGGATTTTTAAATTTCCGTTTTTTTAGATTTGAAATACTGTTGTATCTTTTGATTTTTTAAAAATATTTTATTTATTATTTTAATTTTATGTGTATGAGTGTATTGCCTGCATGTAGGTAAGTGCACCCATGTCGTGCAATGCCCGCAGAGGTCAGAAGAGGCTTTCAGATCCCCTGGGACTGGAGTTATGGACAGTTGTTAGCTGCCATGTGGGTGCTGGGATTCGAACCCAGGTCTTCTGCAAGAACAACCAGTGTTCTTAACCACTGAGCCATCTCTCCAGCCCCTCTTTTAAATTTTTTTAAAATTAAAACAATTTTTAAAAATTTTATGTGTATTAGTGTTTGCCTGCATATATGTAAGTACACCCATGTTATGCAGTGCAGGTGGAGGTCAGAAGAGGGCATCAGATCAATCCCTTAGAACTGGATACAGATGGTTGTTAGCTGCTATGTGGGTGCTAGGAGCTGAACCTGGGTTCTCTGCAAAAGCAGAGAGTGCTGTCAGCCACTGCCGTTTTGTCCTTTTTTGTTTGTTTGTTTTGTTTTTTTTAAAATATGCTATTGTTATATTGTTTCCTAGTAAATAACAAAGAGTTTTTGTTGCCTGAGATACAAAGATACCACATGATAAAAGATTGAGCATTCCTACATCTAAGAAGGTTGATAGAAATTTATTCTAGAAGATTTTGGAAATTTGATTGCATAACTTCCACTATATTGAGAACTATAGGAGTGTTTTTGTTTTGTTTTGTTTCTTTTTGAGACAGGGTCCTGTAGCCCCAGTTGGCTGGAACTCACTATGTAGGCCAGGTTGGCCTTGATCTCACAGAGATCCACCACCTGCCTCTGCTTTCTGGGATTAAAGGCATTCAGCAAGATTTTACTTTTTAAGTTCTAGGTTAGGTTACTGGATTCAAGACCTTAGGTAATGATATAGAAAATGGCAGCTAAAATTGAGCAAAATCTATGAAGAAACAGGAAAGCAGAGGTGACCGGGAAAGGAATGTCTATAGGAATATCTGTGTATACTTGATTTTGTTAGCATGTCACATGAGTGAAGTTCTTTAATGTTGACAAATCATCAGTTACTGAAAGCCGCTTGTTCTTTGACCTTTTTTATAACCTTTACTTAAAAAAATTTACATTTAATATCCTCTGTACTAGAAATTGTGTAGATCAGGCTGGCCTTGATCTCAGTTGCCTCTGCCTCCTGGTGCTGAGATTATAGGTCTGGGACTCTGTTTTCCTTATCAATGGCCCTGTTTCCCAAAGTCATTTGCATGCATAGTTTTTGCTTAGTCTTTTTCCAGACCTTCTCCGGTCTTCATATACTTTACACGAGACCTGGTCACCAGAATGGTACAGGTACCTTATACTCGAATAATGATTTGAGTCTTATTTTCAGTATCTTTTTGGGTTTTGCCTAACATTTTGTTTGTTATTTTGCTTTTAGAATCATGTTATGTTTGGTAACTTTAGAAACATGTAAGAGACCTTTTAGGAAAGATTCTGTCTGACCCTGTATCTAATAACTAGGACCATGTCTTTCAGTATATTTTAGATTATTTTTCTGTAAGCAGATATTCTTTCAGTTTGCATGTATAAAAATCTTTTTCCTTAGGCAACCTTTGAATCTTTTTAAAATTTTTCTCTGCATCTTGGCTGTTAAGCCCTGAGAATTGCTTAGCTGCATCAGTGAACTTGATTGTTTGATGCCTCTTCTTTGTAATTTATGACTCTATTAAATAAGACTTCCTAGAAGTATTATTTCTATTTTATCATCCAGAGATAAGCTTATTCATCCTTGATTTTGTTTTCAGTATTAATCTATAACAAAGCAATTCTTTTTTCCCCTTCTTTGTCAGACTCTATTAGAGATGTGTTCATTTACTTTGTTGCTTTACAAAACTAATTTGTTTTTTCTCTAATTTTGTACTTACTTTGAACATAAGCTACTATATAGGATTAAACCGTTTAGGACAGTCTCTAGAAACAGCTGCTTCCCAGAGACTCACATGCACTCCTTGCCTTTTTCTTGGGTGCTTCTTTGGCAGTCAGGACTCCCAGAGGGGGTTCTGCCTTCAGCAATAACTAAGCTTGATTTGGCTCTGATTTTGATGCCCATGTTGTTATAATTTTCTTTTCTCTGGCTTCTTTTTCTCTCTTTTACCTGCCCAATATCTTATATAAGAATTCTCTTCTTCCAAAATAGCCAACGTCCAGTTAATACATTTCCTTATGTTAATGAGATGATTCCACTTTATCCTTGACCAGAATTAACCATTTTTCTGAGCCTTCTCTTGACAATGATGGTTGATAGCTTCCTTGGTACCAGATCCATTCTAAGCACTTGCCATTTACCTAAGTTCCACAGTAATTCACTGAAGCAAATACTACTATTTTTTCTCTGTTGTACTTCAGAAAATCGAAAAGAAGTGGAAAAGTAGTGTAATTTGGTTAAAATCACAGAACTAATAACTGTTAGTATTTGAATCAAGGAGCCAGGATCTTTTTATATATTTGAAAGGGCAGTATATTTGATCCTAACAGAATGCAAAATGCAAATGTATTTCTTAAAAATTTGTTTCATCTGCAGAAATCAGTCAAAATGTGCATATAAAATGATATATGGTAAGAGGAAAGTTACTCCTTAAGTTAGATATCTTTTTACAATGAGGTCAATTCTTAGTTTGCTTCAGGAATAAAACTGCCATGTATTAGCATTGTTCAGCAAATGCTTATTCAGTGCCTAACAAGTGGCACATGTTATCTAGATGCCTGAGATAACAGTGAATGAAAACGATGGAATCTGCATCCTTGACAAAGACCATAGACCTAGGTTGTTATGCTGGAAAATAAGTGCTATAGGGAAAAAATAAGCCTTGATAAGGTGATACTTGAGTAAAAACACAAAAGATGTAGGGAGTTAGTTTTATGGATACCTAGAAAAGAAAAATTTAGGCAGAGCTAACAGGTAGTACGAATGCCCTGAGGTAGGAATGTGTCTTCTTTATATGAGGGATGACAGGGAGGCTGCTGTAGCTGAGGCAGAGTTAGTAAGGAGAAGGAAAACAGGGTAGAGGGGGGTAGTCAGGAGTTGCAGATGAGGTAGGACTTTATAGGCCATTATGAAGCCTTTGGCTCTTTCTTCTTACTTTAAGTAAGGTAAGGATGGGGCCATGCTCTGATTTCCTATTATAGCAGCTACTATGCTTGGTCCTTTCTAGACATTATTTAATATGTTCTTATCCAGTGTCTTAGAAGGTACATTCTTTTATCACCATACCAAAGTTTAGAAATTAAATAATTTGCTTGATAATACAGCTTGCGTATGGAAAAAGCAGAATTCAGACCCATGCTGTATTACCTGTAAATTGCATGCACTTACTCATCATGCTGCTTAAGCTTTAGTTTATAAAAATGTTTTGGATATTTTGTGGAGCAACAGGTCAAAAAATGGAGCAGTGAAGTTTGTTATTGTATATTGTCTCTTTAAATATAACACATTAAAATCTTAATTTTGTTAGTTGCAGATGAACGCTCTTTATGTTTAAAGATCTTGACTTTGGGTTTGACCCTCTAGGTGGTATCAATATGGATACATTTCAGGAGCGTGAGGAAGGCCGTGCAGGTCCTGATGACAATGAAGAAGTCATGCGAGCTCTGCTCATTCACGAGAAGAAGACCTCCTCTGCCACAGCTGGCTCGGTGGGGGCAGCTGCTCCAGTGACTGCTGCCAACGGCAGTGACTCTGAGAGTGAGACCAGCGAGTCAGATGACGACTCTCCGCCCCGGCCAGCTGTGGCTGCACATCACCGGGATGAGGATGAAGAAGAGGATGAGTTTGAAGAAGTAGCAGATGATCCCATTGTCATGGTGGCTGGCCGTCCATTCTCCTACAGCGAAGTGAGCCAGCGGCCAGAGCTCGTGGCCCAGATGACACCAGAAGAGAAGGAAGCTTACATAGCAATGGGTCAGCGTATGTTTGAGGACCTCTTTGAGTGAGCTTTCTCACTTATTTTTTCTTCCTTTTTGTAATGCTCATTTCAAAGACTTTTTTTCTCTCTCTCTTCTTTTTGTTTGTTTGTTTGTTTGTTTTGAGACAGGGTCCTAATATATAACCCTGGTTGTCCATAATGCTCATTTCAGAAAGAAACTCCCTACCAAGTACTTAAATGCCTTCCTATAAAACTCCTATTAATTTAGCAGAAAAGGATAATAGGAGAGAAAGCTTGATTTTTATGTCAGAAACTTCCCGGAAAGGTAGGTGACTATAAGCATTCCCTTCCCTCTTGACACTAAAGTATTAATATTTTACTGTATTTTCTTATCTAATTTGTCCTTTTCTTTTTAAGACACATTTTTTTTTCCCCTCTGAAATGGGAAGATGTCCACAAGGTAAAAATTTCCTGTTTACTTACAGAACCCTCCTGTGATAAGTTACAGTAATTCACTGATGACACCCTTTTTTACTGTTTTGGCAAGCATTTGGAACAGTTCCTTATATTCCTGCCAACCAAAGCAGCTTGCCAAGAGGCAGATCACTGATTAGAGGAAAACCTTAACGCTTCATCTTTCCTCAAAATTAAGTTTGGAGTCTTTATGTGAAAGGAGTGAGACTATAGAAGAGAGATAGATATGCCTGAATCTTAGGATTGTCTAAACCAGAACTCATGTCTGTAGAACTGGTAAGACCAGTAGATTCATTTGTTTTTTTAATACCTTTTGGGTTATATTTTGAATGATAGAAAGCAAAGTATGCTTGATACCCCCTTATGAAGAAATTAAAAAAGAATATGGACAAAGGATAAGGGGTCTGTAAAGGGCTGAAGAATGGAGAACAGCAGAAACAGTGCCTTAGAACTGCCCGAGTGTGTTCTGATTTGGAAATCTTACGTGAAGCTGAGACTGGTCCCATTCCCCACCTTATTCTGTAGACCTCTTGTCAGTGCTATAAATTTAGGCGACCATTCCGGCAGACAGCCGCATAGGATTATTGAACTCTCTTCCCCACACTCTTCCTTCCTAAGCATCACTGAAGCCTTTCTTTATCTTTATTTTGAATATTGTCAGACACAGTATTTTAGTGCATTCAGTACATTGTTGAGCATTGTAACCTCAAGGAGCATAGTTATGTAGCATGGTGTTATTTCTGAAGGCAGAACTTTAAAAATAAAGGATTTTCATATAAAGTCTACACAATTGTATGTTTTATAATATTTTCCCTTGCATTGTAGTTTTTAGTTATCACTTCACATGTATGAAGTTAAGATAGCATTGTAGAGTGTCTGAGCCTTATATAAAGTGATGGTTCATTTACTTGGATTGTTGGATTACTGAATATTGACAATCTATTTTATACTGGTTAAAATTTGTTAATTTCTAGCTCTGTAACATCTTGGAGCATAACTAAAAATGTATACTCTTCCCATTTAAAGATGTTAAAGCCTTCTCTTACTAGTCATGTTATTTAATAATAGGTGCAATTGTATGTGATCTAAACTTTATGGCAGTAAGTTGCCTTAAGAATACCTTTTATGTATTTATCTTAAATACAAGTGACTGTTCAACTTTTTAAATCGGTTTTTAACTTTCATAGTTCTAGAAAGAAGTTAATTTAAATAAAATGATAACCAGATAGCCATTTTAAAAACATGGTTAATTTTTAAGCTATAAGTTCTTTGTTTTTGTTTTTGTTTTTAAATGTGAGTCTATGTATGAGTGTGTATTAGGAAAAAGTGTGTGAATAAAGCCACTTGTTAAAACAGTGTTTGAAATAGAATAGACAGATGAATTCACTAAATTTGCATTAAATCAGGAGTTAAATTTCCCAGCAAAGCACAGTTATTCAAAAGCATGCATTAAGAAGAATGGATTGAGAATGTAATGTATATATAGAATTTAGAACATGTAGAATTTAGGTTTTGTATGGGGGTATAGAATCTGTAGAAATGAAAAAAAAATTAGCTAACATCATATAATGCTGTTTGTGAAACACTTTTGACTATTTGTTCATTTTTGTTGTTGGTGGTGGTGTTTTTTGTTTTTGTTTTTTTTTCTTTTTTTTTGAGATAGTTCCCTGTAGCCCCAGCTGACTTGGAACTCACTATGTAGACCAGGCTGGCCTTGATCTCACAGAGATATGCCTGCCTCTGCCTCCCAAGTGCTGGGATTAAAGGCATGTACCACCATGCCTGGTGTTGACTAATCATTTGAAATAAAATTGTGAAGTGAGGAGGGGTGTATGTATGTGTATAAAGATAGTAGGAATGGGATTTGCAGTAATATCAATATATGACAATAGAAGAGAGATTTATTTACATTCTGGAAAATACATAGATGATGAATTTCATGTAGAAATTATCTGTAGAAATAGAATGGTAAAAGCAAGCTATTTTGAGGTTAATGCTAGGGTTTTTAGATGTATCTCTTTTATAATTTGTTTTTAAATCCTGGGTTAACCAGGACAATACAATTTAATATGTAAAGTTTTGATTACTACCTCCATATTTCAATAATGTGTAATAAACCTCAGAAGACCTTGATAATACTTGATCAGACAGGTTTGTTTCAAGTTGTACAGTAACTTAAGGGAAGCCAGTTAGTGCTGGACTAAAAATGGGAGCACTTCCAGTTATCAGCTTTTGAAACTCAAGTGAGGGAGGGCTTATACCCAAAGGTGGTAAGTCCATGTGGTTATGTGAAGAATAACCTCAGGACAACTGGAATTGTCACCACCCATGGCCTATAGTAAAGGATGATCAGTCATGCAATTTCTCTGTGGCTGGTCAGCTGTATTATTTGTTAAACTCAAGTGTGGGCTGTCCATATGTTCCAGCTTTTCCACTGTCCTTTAGGATTTTAACAGAGCTCTTTAACATGGTAGATTGTTTCTTCCAGTAACAGTCTTTTGGGGGAAACCACTGCTCTTTTGTAGGGAGAGAAGCAAGGATTTTATGCTCTCTTGTCTGTAGCTCCCTTCTGCCTAGGTTTCTTTTTTTAAAGTTTTTTATTGATTTTTTTGTGTCTTTCATACAAAAGTCATCATCTTTATACCCTCCTCCCCCATTCACATCCTCCTGTAGCCACCACCACCACCATGAAATATCGTGCTTTCTGTCAACTGCTAATTATGGGAGGGTTGGACTAGGGGCCCCAAGATTTCTTCTAGCTTTATTTTATAGAGGCAGTTGATAGATAAAACATTTTTGAAATGAAATCAAATCACAGCAAAAAATGCCTTCTGAAGTCAAAATCAAGTACTCGGGGTATTTTAGTTGAGAGACTGGTGTAGAGGGCAGGTTTGGAACTGGCAGTGTAGCAAGTCACAAAATAAACTACAGCAAATTGGGTTTCTCTTTCCCCATCTTGCCATGATACTTACTGACTTCTAGTCATCTGAATGACTAAGGGAATAGTAATTGAGCAATTATAACTTTGTTAGTATTGTTTGAGAGAGCTGGATATGGGGACAAGAATCAGAAAGGCAATTTCATTTTATTCTAACAACTGGCTCTGTGTTTAGATTTCCAGCCAGGACCACAATAAAAAAGACATATGTGTTTGTTTACTTCTCTTTATCCCCAAATTTTAAAAAAAGAAATTAGAAAATGACCATTTCTTACTCTCTTGACTGAAAGTTTGAAACGGAGCTAGGATATAACCATCCAAAGTCACATGAGGGCTGGAAGTGGTGCTCAGTGGAGCTCCACGTGTATGATTCCCAGCATTGGGAAAAAAAAAAAGTCTTCAGATTTTAGAAATCTATACAATTCTACTTTCTATTTGCTTTGCATCTTCTTTCCTTCCTTCCTTCCTTCTTTCCTTCCTTCCTTCCTTCCTTCCTTCCTTCCTTCCTCCCTCTCTCCCTCTCTCCCTCCCTCCTTCCCTCCCTTCCTCCTTTCCTTCCTTCCTTTCTCCCTCCCTCCCTCTCTCCTTCCCTGTGTTTTTGAGATAAGGTCTCCCTGTAGACCAGGCTAGCCTTGAACTCACAGAGATCCACCTGCCTCTGCCTCCCAAGTGCTGGGATTAAAGGTATGTGCCACCACACCTGGCTTATTAATATTTATTTTTATTTTATGTATGTGAGTGTATTGCCTGCATTCATGTAAATGCACCTGTGTCTTGCAATGCCTGTGGAGGTCAGAAGAGGGCACTGGATCCCCTGGAACTGGAGTTAGGATTATTGTTAGCTATCATGTGGGTGCTGAGAGTTGAACATTGCAGCCTTGGCAAGGGCAGCGAGTCCTCTTAACCCATGAGCCAACTCTCCAGCCCTGCTTGTTTCTTTTTAGAGGCAGGATCTCATGTAACTGGGGCTAGACAAGAACTGCTGATCCTCCTGCCTCTAGCTCTCATTTGCTGGGATTATAGACATGTGCCACAGGCTCAAACTTGGCTTTGTTAAATGTCCTTTTTTCTTTCTAACCCTTGTTTCTTTTTGTTTGTCATTATTTATTATTTCAATGTATTATTTGAAGTATACAGGAGTATATATGTAACGTTTTACTAAAATGAACTCCCCAGTTGAGATGGTTTAAAGGGCAAAGCCTGACGTCCTGAGTTCAATTCATGGAACCCACTTGCTTTGCATTTTATTTTCATCCAAGATATTTCACATATGTTACTTTTAACAGCTGGGCTACTATGACTTTTTAAAAAAATATTTTATGTGTATGAGTGTATTGCCTGCATGTATGTAAGTGCACCTGTGTTGTGCAATGCCCACAGAGATCAGAAGAGGGCATTGAATTCCCTTGTAACTGGAGTTATGAACAGTTGTTAGCTGCCATGTGTGTGCTGGGAATTGAACCCAAGTCCTCTGCAAGAGCAACCAGTGCTCTTAACTGCTGAGCCAACCCTCCAGCCCAAAATAGCTAAAAGTCTCTTGGAGGAAATGAGGACTTTTAGAAAGAAACTGTCACTATGGTAAATTTACTGTCTATTCATGTTGGTTTTTCCTGCCATAAAAGGAGTAAACTAAACTGAACAGAAGTAGTGAAGATCCTCTTAAAACCTGTAAAGCCAAAATGGATTGAAAAAAGAGACTAATAAAATCTTCCTTTGGAGAGATAAAGCAGGGAACTAATTCTGGCATGCCCTTAAGTCAAGGAACAGATAGACTAACCTCTCTTCAGAAAGAGCTTTATGTCCTTTGGAATACCAGAGGCAGCCTTCCTAATTCCAGTTAGGAAGCTGGTAGGCCTAATTCATGACCCAGTTTCAACAGTCAGCCTACGAGTCCCATCATACAAAAGTACGTTATCGCCTACCCAATGTAAATAAGTCTGAGAAGTTAGTCTAGAAAGAGGGCAAGTGCCAGGTTCCTGAATCATGATAGTACATATAAGATGATTGTATGGCTTTTTTGTTATAGAAATGTATTGATTGTTTTTAATTATCCAGTTAGAAATATTTATAGTAAAAACCGAAAGCTGTTTGGCCCACCCATTTCAATATACTGCAGAAACCATTGTCAATAGTTTATGTATTATCTCAGATGTTTTCTAGGCCTTTGGACCCCCCCATTCCCCAACACCCACATATTGTATTGCTTTTTTTTTTTTTTTTTTTTGCTTTTTGAGACAGGCTCTCCCTGTAGCCCCAACTGTCCTAGAACTCACTATGTAGACCAGGCTGGCCTTGAACTCACTGAGATCCACCTTCTCTGCCTCCCAAGTGCTGGGATTAAAGGTGTGCACCACCACGCCCAGCCCTAAGTAAATGGAATTATAAACATTGCCATTTGCTTTTGTAAAAACAAGGGCTATATAAAATTTTAAATATTGTATGATGGTTTATGTTAGAACTCCTTTATTGATGACTAGTTGTTCCCTTATGTTTTCATTTTCTTTTTAGAAAATAGACTCATAAGAGAAATAGCCAAAGGATATATTAGTCTGTTTTATGTTGGAATAACAAAAAGTTGAGGCTGGATGCTAAGGAAGAGAAAGATTTGTTTAGTGAGTTTTCATGGATGAAAGTCCAAGATCAGGCTTTCCTGTCTGTTTGGCCTCAGGTAAGGGCACACTTGGCTATACCACAATATGGTAAAAAGGTGGGAAGGGACATGGCTGTGTGCAGAAGAGGCAGGTACATGGGGTCAGCTTGCTTCATTATGACCTGCTCTTGTAAGAACTTAACTCCTAGTGACCCAGCCACCATCTATTAGGCCTCACCTCTTAAACATTCCTCCACCTAAACACTAACACACTGGGGACCAACCTAGCACATGAACCCTTGTGGGGCATATCCAAATAAGCAGGACATGTCCATTGTACCCTTTAAAAGATACTGGCAAATTGTTCTTGAAAGAGATGGTTGGGTAATAATGAGCACAGAAACAATTTGCAGTATTTGTACTGGATTAGAAGATTATTAAAGCCATTTTGATATTCTTGGTGGGTAATTCAGCCTAAAGATTTGTCCACGTCAATATGAATGGGGCAGATTTCAAAGAATTTGAAGAGGCAGAATAAAGCTTGATGACTGTGGGTAGGGCAGTTCTTGGATGAATCTAAAGTTCTACAAGGATGGTGGCTCTGCTTACCAGGACTGGAAACAGGAGGTCGAGAAGATTTTGTTCCATATTCAGTAAATGACAACGCAATTTTACCTACAAGGTCAACCCAGAAGTTTTAGCAGTTGACCATTCT